CCAGCCCCAAAGTCACGCTTCATTCTGACTTTTCCTTGTTACCTATTTGACCCTCGAATTCATTCTCCAAACTGGAAATGGGCAGACCTTTTTTTCATGCGGCCATACAGCACTGAGGATTGAAGCCAGGGCCTTGTGCATGCTGGGCAAGGGCTCTCCCCCTGAGCTACATACCCAGCCCAGAAAACCTTTTCATCCAGGCCTAGACAAGAAGTGTCTTTAGCTTTGCCAACCATACTGTTGTAACTACTCAACTCTCTCTGGTAGGGGAAAGGAGCTGTATTGGATACATAAACAAGCAGGCCGGTGAAGCTGTGGTCCAGGAAAACTTTATTTTCTCAAAATGGGCCCTGCTGGGATTGGTGCTAGCACAGTAGTTTGTAGCTAGGGACTTGAATGAAAATGGAACTTGTCAGACCTCTGCTTAAAGTCGATTAAGTACATACGGTGGGTGCAGCTGCTCCAGGGACTGCACTAGTGACGACTTACTCTTAATCCTCAGCCCTTCCTTCTTGTCCTGTTCGCCTCTATTTCATTCAGATCGTCAGAAGTTCCTTGCTGACTTGGGACCTTTACACAAGCTGTTTCTCACTCCCTTGAAGACTTGACTCTGGCTCCCACTCACCCTCTGTTCTCGACTGAAATGTCACGTTCTCCGAGACACTTTCCCTGTCCTAAACCCATTAGCTTCTTCCTGCTATACTGGTACTTTTTATGTCTCTTACAGTGAATCTCCATTTTAGTTTAATATTGGAGTGCTTGTTTACTCTCTAGTTCTTTGGTGAACTATAAACTCACAGGATCAGTGAAAATGCTTGAATTTTCACCTCTTGAACTCCACACCTGCTCCACTGCCTTGTGTGATAGGAATTTAGTGAGTATTTGCTAGGTAAATAAACATCGGTCTATATTTTAAGGAGAGGGTTGATAGGAGAGCAACCATAGTAAGTTGGAAACTCAAGGGGAAAATGGAGATGTGTTTGCCTATGAGCCATGGTTGAACACCAGACCCTCCCTCAAAAATAACCAACAATACCAATAATTTAAAAAAACAAGAAATGTACTCATTACCTTACGTATGTAAGTTAACCCCTCCATACAGCACCTTTACAATAAAATAAAAAAATAACTAAAACAAAACCAAACCAATTGACTGATCCACTCTTCTACCCTTTTTTTGTTTCACCCTCAAGCATGTTAAATCATTTGCAGCTCTGCTTCATCTCCATATGTGCTCATTCCATTACTTCTGCCTAGATACCTTGTTTCCCATCCATCCAGAAACTCCTAATTCACATTTCAGATGTTGCCTCCTCTAGAAAGCCATTCAGATCTCACAATCTGTTCTGAGATTGGCTGTCTGGCTTTCTTCCCACAATCCCAGTGCATGAAGGTAGCATCACAAATCTTACATTATTGTGTATGCGTGTGTGTGTGTGTGTGTGTGTGTGTATGTATTTATTTATTAGATACAATGATCTTGAAAACTAAAGCACATCTCTCTGCCCACCAGCACCTTTTGTAATGGTCTTCACATTTTTATTTTATTTTTAAGTTCTTAAACTATGCCTTTGTCTTCCCCAAACATTTTTCCCCCTCTAGTATCTTCATTATCCTGAAAGGCTTTGTTGTTGCATTTGGTGTGGTTTATTGGGGGAGAGGCATTAAGAGCAAAGGAGACAGATGTATTGTTGCGTTTCTACCATATATACCTCTCTACCAGCCACTGCCACGATAGAGCTGTTCGCTGTGCTCTGTGAAATCTTCAGTGGTCTTCTTTCCCTGCCATCTTTTGTCCTAGTGATTTAAGAGTATTGTTTTCAGAATTGTCTGATTTACAGTGAGAAAGAAACACAAACCTTTGGAGAACATGGTCCTTCTAATTCTAATATAGAAAAGAAATAATGAGAAACACCTCACTTGCCAAACTCATTGAAGATACTTTGGGAGGCTATAATGTCATGTGAAGAAGAAAAGAAAAATAAGAAGGAAGAAGAGGAGAAGGAAGATGACCACCCAATTCTCTAATCAATCCAACAAAACAAAAATAGTTATGACTTACAAACTCGTTCTAAGTAATTCCCCAAAGGTAGCTTGGGAATGAGCCAACTGTAAACTTTGGTAAGACAAAAAAACAAAAACAGAACAAAAAACAACAACCAAAAAACACAAAAACAACAAAGAAAATGGATAAGATGGAGGGAAGGGTAACAGGACTATGGCTTTGTTGTTTATCATTCCGATTTATAAGTCAACAGGAAATTGATTTCCTACTTAAATTGTTAGCAATAAATTATCCACGGTAGAGCCATCTGCATTCTCTGGCGCCAAGTTAGCCACATAAGAGGAACAATATGTTGCAGCAGAAGTCTGCGGAAGAGATTCTTTTTTTGAAGGTGACTCATGCCACTGTAAAGGCTGCCTTTGGTTTCAAACACATCTAATATCTCATTTCTTACTCAAAAGCTTCAGAGAGGCTAATGATAAAGGATGGATACCGTTAGTGACGAGAGACAATCCCTATGGACACCGGCTGCTTGTCTGAATGGTTTAGGGTAGCAATCTGAATAGACCAGGGAGGCTCTGACATCCACGAAAATGGAAGAATGTTGGGGTGTCTGGATGAAGGAAGATGGTGGAGATGATTAGAAGTGGGAGCTCATTCACCTGATGAATCAACAAAATGCGGTGCACTTGTTTGTGAAATTTCCTTCCCCACTTTTCAGGCTGTTTTGTTTGTTTTTTAGATTTTTTGACCCCTTAACTCACACAATCATTTGCCTAACGTAATTATTTGCAATTATGTAACTTCCTACAAAATTTCCACACCAACATTTCCTTCCTTCTTTATTTTTACCTGCTGGGAAAGTGTGGACAGATGCACTTGGTTTTCTGTTTAGTTTTGGTCTGTGTATGTGTGTGTATATGTGCTGGTGCTGAGGCTTGAACTCGAGGCCAAGGTTCATTCTACCACGTGAGGCATAGCTCCACTCCCAGCATTTTGTTGGTTAATTGGAGATGAAGAGTTTCATGGACTTTTCTTCTCTGGCTGACTTTGAACCATGATTCTCAGCTCTCAGCTTCCTCAGTAACTAGGATTACTGGTATGAGCCACTCGCACTAAGGTTTTTCACATGCTTCTGATTGCAAGAAGCCTTTAACCAAAATGCACCTAGTGTTCTTGTGGTGATGAGTCAGCATGCAGCAGGGAAACCTCATTTGAATATGCCTTTGAAGCTTCCCTTTGGTGGTGCAGACAAACGTGTTGTTTGGACTTGGGGGTCTAAGTAAGGCAGGACCACAGACATACTAACTTTATTTCCAAATTGCATGGTAGAACCAGTAATTATAGCTCTTAAGGGAGGACGTTTCCCAGAGGATCTTAGTTTTAGTCACTCGCCATAGTTATTTATCACATTCTGGGCTTCTCTTTGTGTATCTTTTACATTTTGTTTTCTTTTGGCTTTGACACCATTGTAAATTTGGGGCTCAACTTCCATCCTTAGCTTGAGGAATAGTATGATTGAGAACAGATAGGCATTTTTGCTAAACCAAAAATAACTATCACTTTGCTTTGATTCTGTTGCTGCTGCTCGAGACTGTGAATGTAGATTAATTCAGAGTGACTTCCATAAATCCTTCTAATCATGGCTGAGCATCTCTTTCTGCTGGGAAGGGAGGAAGAATGCATTCCAGTAAAAAACAAAAAGCAGTCATTTTGTAACTTCTTATTATTTAAGTCAGTTTTTGGTTTGGCAGACTCTTTCCCCCTAAGGAACATGTCTTCCTGCAGCAGCAAAACAAGGAGTGTTTTATATGAAAATAGAATTGTCGCTTATGCTAGCATGTCCGTAGCATTACTTCCAGATTTTTCTGCTGAAAATGTCAAACCTGTCGTCCTGAGGTGGAATAAACCCAACGGAAGGGAATTCGTACCAAAAATGCTAAAATGCATCTCCCAGATTATATCAACCAAAGCGTAAACACAGGTGTTCAGTGTGCTGTTTAGTGTGGTAGCCACACACAGCTACTTGAGTTTAAGGTAAAATTCTTTGGAATTACAAAATTCCATTCTCCTGTTGCATTAGCCACACTCCAAGTAGTCAGCTGGCTCTGCCTTGGGATATAGGACTCTGATATCCTTGCAGAAAGTTCTGAGAATCAGGCAAACTTCGCATATAACACTTTCTAGGCTCTGGTGAAAATGCGGTTGAGTCAAGCTGATGTATCTTTATTTCTGATTCTGTGCTAGTCACTGGAGGTCTAGGCGAATCCCTTGGCATATAGTAGACAATAAATGCTTTGGCAAATAAGTAGGTAAAAGCAAAGACCAGCTAGTCTTCCCTATAAACAGTCATTTCTTGGAGTTAGGACACCATTTGAAGATTTCCTAGGAGTCATGCAAAAAGAGAAATGGATAGACCTTGGAGATGTCTTCTTTTCCTTCATTCCCCTCTTCCTCCTCCTTACTCTATCTAGAGTCATGACTAAACAGGTAATATTGTTGGGCATTTATTAAATGTTCTAAGTTCTTCCAGTAGATTGTTGCACTCGACTATGGATTTGTAAGGCCTGTCATAACCCCAGGAACTCTTAACCCACTTTTCTCCCCCTCAGGGGTCTGGAAACTTCTAGCTGAAGATGCAAGGGTTATAGCCGGGTTGGTTCCACTCGAGACACCTCCTGTTGGCTCACAGGTGTCTGCCTTCTGTCACGAGGCCTGACGTGGCCTCGTGAGTACACGTGCATCCCTGGCATCTCGTTTTGTGTACGATTTTCTCTTATGCAGACTGGAATTTTTTTTAACCAATCTTATTATTCTGCTTTTAACTTTTATCCCCCCTTTGAAGTCCTCATCTCAAAAAAGGTAGCCACATTTTGACATGCTGTGGGTTAAGGCTTTGCTGCGGTATGGGTATTTGTTTTCTCCATTTGTAGAGAAAAACCAGTGGCCAGGGTGACAGAATGAGGAGGCTCAGCCTCTGGGAAGTGTTCGGATCATGGCGCTGCGGCTGCGGGACTCAGGAATGAAGGTCCACAGGCCTGCCTTGCTCCTCCCACCAGGTGAGGCTGCGGCTGGGAGAAGGTGGAGGCAGTGTGGCACGTGAACCAGAAGAGGGCCTTCATCAAACACAAGTCTGGAAGCGCCTTGGCCTTGGACCTCTCAACCTCCAGAATTAGTTCACGGCTTCCCGGCTAATAAATAATGGAACACAGATAGGAATCCAACTTGTCTGACTGCAGAGCTTGCGTGCACTGTCAAACCTGTAAGACATATCAGGTCATCTCAAGTTGGCAACAAAATTGGGCTTGAAACTAATTAGAAGAAGTGTAGCACTGGAGGTGATGATGGGTAAATTGGGGAGATTGGGTACAGCCATTGGTGCCACTAGCTTCCATTCTTTGTAATGATTATCAACTCCAACATCCTCAGAGTTCCTCCTACCCAACTATTTCCTCTCTTGCTATCTCTCTTGCTATCCCCTAGTTTTATCAGGGGAAAGAGATTGCTGGGGAGCAGAGGAATCTGTCCTGGATTAGGACAAAGTTCAGCACATGGATTACAGAATGTAGTAACAAGAACTAACTGTAAATTGGATTCTTCAGTTACTTCATTATTTTTAAATATAGGATATATAATCTTATTTTCTAGCTTCTAGTCCCTATTGTAAACTATCTTCTGTCTCTTCTTTTTAAACTCATGAAAGAAGTTACTCTAATTATTGTCACTTTTATTTTATTGGTGTTATTTATCTTTTATGCACCCCCACCCTATCCTGCTTCTTCTTTTGAGGTGGTTCTGGGTTTGAACTTAGGGCACCGTCCCTGAGCTTTTTTGCTTAAGGCTTGAGCCACTGGCTTTTTATTATTTTTTATTAAAAATACTTTGGTGGTTAATAGAAGAGTCTCACATAGACTTGAGCCACTGCCTTTATTATTTTTTTTTATGAAAAAATACTTTGGTGGTTAATAGAAGATAAGAGTCTCACATGGACTTTCCTGCCTGGGCTGGCTTTGATATGCGATCCTCACAGCTCAGCCTTCTAAGTAGCTAGGATTACAGGTGTGAGCCACCAGTGCTAAGCTTTATACTTCATTTTTACCTTCTTAAACATCAGATTTTGTCATTAGCCTTAAAAAAAATCTCTACTCCTACCTTCTTTGGGTTGATTTTGGTGTCTTCTTTGGATTTGAAAAGATGAAAGAAGTGACAAAAAATTTAGCAGCTTTTAAAAATAGTAGTGATAGCAAGTTAGATATAGAAGTGGAAAAATGTTCTTTTCACAATTTTATACTCAGGAATAGACTTAACACACAAGGTGTGGCTCCTATGTGAAGAAAGGGTACTTTGTGGACATTGTGTAAAAAAATGGAAATTGAATTCACAAGAGGCCTTTAAAATCATGAAAATGGTAATTCTTCCAAAAATCACTTTATTCATTCTATTGTTTTATTCATGTCACGTTTAGAATTTCTATAAATGATTGATATAATATGAATGATGTAAGAATGATAAACCAGGTGCTGGTAGCTCACTCCTGTAATCTTAGCTACTCAGGAGGCTAAGATCTGAGGATCGCAGTTCAAAGCCAGGCCAGGCAGAAAAGTCCTGGTGAAACTTTTATTTATTTATTTATTGCCAATTCTTGGGCTTGAATTTAGGGCCTAAGCATAGTTCCTGAGCTTCTTTTGCTCAAGGCTGGCACTCTACCACTTGAACCACACCATTACTTCTGGCTTTTTTTTTTTCTGTTTATATGGTATTAAGGAATCTAACCCAGGGCTTCATGCACACTAAGCAAGTACTCTACCACTAAGCCAATTCCCAGCCTCCCTGGTAAAACTCTTATTTCCAATTAACTACTGAAAAACGGGAAGTTTTTTCTTTTGAGCTGTCACTCAAAGTGGTAGAGCACTAGCCCTGAGCAAGAGAACTCAGGGATAGTGCCCAAGTTCTGAGTTCATGCCCCCAAATCACCCCTTCCCCCCAAAAAAGTGAAAACATTTGCAAGACTATGACAAATACATGTGTAACATAGTTAATGTAGGGAGAGATTTTGTATCTTTGGGAAAATATATGCAGTATAATAGATTGAACTTCAGTGAACCACTCAGAGCATTACTACGTATGTGTAAATTAGAATCTAATCAGAGAGAGTTGGGATAGGGCTGGGAAGATGGCTCAGTGGTAGAGAGCTTGCCTTGCATGCCTGAGGCCCTGGGTTCGATTCCTCAGCACCACATAAGCCGGAAGTGGCGCTGTGGCTCAAGTGGTAGAGCACTAGCCTAGAGCTGAAGAGCCGAGGGACAGCGCCCAGGCCCAGAGTTCAGGCCCCACAACCGGACCCCCCCCCCAAAAAAAAAGAATCTCAAACAGAGAGAGTTGGGATAGAAGAGGCAGGTGCTTAAAACTTGAGTAATGGTGCTAAGTAATAACATAGTCAAGTTCTTTGACTAAGGGGCAAGATTGTAGGCCACTGAATTCTGTTATGGCCATCTGTAAACTATAATATAGATAGTTAAATCCTGAGCCTCCTTGATTTTCCTATCAGTAAAATACAGATGAAAATAGTTCCTAATCCAGAAAGAGGAAAGAGAGAGAGAGGAGAGAGAGAAAGAGAGAGAGACAGACAGAGAGACAGAGACAGAGAAAGAACGAGAGAGAGATGAATTGATACATAGGAAATAGTTCCTGCCTCAGTGCTATGTACATATGGGCCATTATTGTAGCAACATTGAGACTCTAGGTCCAGGAAAATAATTTACTTTTGACTGGATTGACCAATGTCATAGTGACAATGCCAACGTCATAATGATTATACCATCACTTTAAAGGAGTGTATGATGACATACATACAGGTTAACAGACTTTTAAATCCTGACACTTGTGTATGTCTATACAAACACCATTTGTTTGTGCTTGTTGAACTATTTGTTTCAGAGACATAAAATGGAAGATTATTAAATTTAGTATTTATCCTTTTTATCGAAGTCAGTGGGTTCTATTTTATTTAGCACCATGTTTCAATATCCTTTTTACTTGAGAATGTTTGTAGATTATTTCATTAATTTAACATCAAAGTATCCTTGGGAGAAGTGCAGGCAAAATGCTAATGTAAAGCAGTGGAAAGGATTATAACATTGGAAATTTCAAGTCTTTGTTGGGTACAGGGTGAATCTTATTTTTTTAAACATGTATGAGATTTTTGACATTCAGTTTACTACATGCTCCTCTTCACTGCCCCGCCCCCCAAAAAAAATCTCTAAAGGTTTTTGTCTTAGTCCCTAAAGAATTAATAAAATAGCAGAGGACAAATGAGATTGAGTGAGAGGTGAAATTAGTGTAGATGTCATCAGCAAAAAGCTTGAAAGTACTTTACTGACAGGACCATGCACAAAATATGATAGTGCATCTTTTTGTAAGGCTCTAGTTCCGTTTATAATTTATTCACCAGTACATTAAAAATGTAAAACTGTGCATCATTGTTTCTAGCATGTATTTATAACTTCAACATTAAAATTTAAAACCGAGGAGAGCAAAATACTCCCTGTAATCTGGAGAGTTCTGGAGTGTGTGTGATAGGGTTATTTCAGAAGGTTCCATAATATTCTCTTACTCCCTGCATCTAACATCAGATTTAATGTGCCTGGGCAGATTTCTTTTTCATTTAACATTTGCATGTAGCAGCCATGCTGCATAGTTCATATGTTTTTTTTTGGTGGTGGGGGGGGGGTTTTGATGCTCTGGCTAGTTGATAAGAAAGAGCACTAAAGTTTTTAGGTGTGTGTGTGTGTGTGTGCACGTGTGCACGTGCGCATGCATGTGTGTGCGTACATTATTTAAAAGCCATCCCATTTCTCTTGTTCTTTTTTTCCTTCTTCCCCATCTCCCCCCTCAACTCTTGGTTTTGGAGATCTCAAATGGCCTCCAGACCAGTAGCCTACTGCCTCCCCCCTTCCCCCATGAGCAGAGAGCAGCAGGCTCAGGGAGCAGACTGTCCCTGCCAGTCTGCGGAACTGGAGGATTTCCCCGTGATTCACCTATACGCACAAGCCTGCCATATGGGGTTGGTGTGGGTGGGGCTGGCATTTTCATCAGCACTCCTGGAAGGGTTCACTGATTTTCCAAGTCCACTTAGGTTAGGTCGTGAAGCTCTTTGAAAGATCCCAGGGGCTTCTGGTGTTCTCATTGGGAGTTTTTATATGTCGCCAGTAGGGGAAACTGTCCACACCACTGTCAATGTGAGGCATCGTCAGTTGTTACCATTTATCCACCACTGACTACTTGTTGGACATGTATGGAGTGTCTTATGTGTATTTTCTTATTTAATATCCTCAACAACTCAACAGAAGAAGTGTTCACTAAAAGAATATTATTTAGAAGTCCCGTTTCCAACTCTGGAAGAAAAGAACTTTGCTTTCCTTTCTTCTCTTCTGTCCTTTGTCTTCTTTTTCTCTCTTCCTCCCTCTTTTCCCTCCCTCTCTCCTCCTTTTCTCCTTTCCCCTGCAAGCCTGGGTAATCAATGTATGTTAATATTCATGGTGGATGTGAAGTCTCTGTTACTTGCTTCTCCTTTATAATGTGCAGGGCAAGGTTCCTTTAATACGGAAAAGTCTTTGTATCGTTTTCAAATTCTTCTTTGCAAAAGTGAGAGGGGAAAATCCATAGCTTTGCAAATCACATTTCCTGGAAAGTTCATAGTGCCCAGCCCAAATCTCAGTGGTCCCCAGCGGCCATTGGCCTGCTGTCCTTGTCACCTCTGCTACGACTGCACTTTCCCAGTGACTACCTCCCAGTCATCCCTTCTCCCTCCTGGCGGCATCGTGATCGCCGCTGCACTACAGAATACAGATGCTCATGTCCCCTCTCAGACCTGAAGTATGGCCATTGAGAATGTATGTGTAGGACACTTTATGAAGGATTCTGACCAAGAGTGCTGTTCATCAGCCCAGTCTTCATTCTGAACTTTGAACATCCCACCTGCTGTGGGATGATCTGAAGGGATTCCCACAGTAGACCAATCCCAGCAGAGGACTTCACTCCAGCCGCCATGAGCTTTCTGTAGTCCTCAGTTTACAGAAGGAACCAATCCTTGGGCTTGAACTCAGGGTCTGGGGGCTGCTCCTTACCTTAGTTTGCTTGAGGCTAGTGCTCTACCACTTGAGCCACAGTCCCACTTCTGGCTTTGTGTGTGTGTGTGTGTGTGTGTGTGTGTGTGTGTGTGTGTGTGATTAAATAGTGTTAAGAGTCTCATGGATTTGGACTTTTCTGCCTGGGCTGGCTTCCAGCTGTGATCCTCAGGTCTCAGTCTCCTGAGTAGCTAGGATTACAGTATGAGCCACCAATACCTAGCCTTTTACTTTTTTTTTTTTTAAGGAAGGTTTTTATTACATTGCCCATTGTTTTTGAAACCATTGTGTGTTCAGCACTGCCAGTCTTTAGTAACAATGTTGAAAAATAACCTTGCAAAAATATTTTGATCAATCAATTTGACTTCTAAGTCATCTTTTTTTGCTGATAGAATTAGAAAAGAATGTTCCAAGGATCTTTTGAGGTGAAATAGCTTCCATAATTTTTTTACAATGTTGATTTGGTTTTAGGTAGTCTACTTCCTCTTTCTCTGCTTATTATAAGATGGAAAATTTCCTCCTCCATTTAAACAGGTCTGTTAGAATACTTTGACGTTTTCCACCCACACAAGTTGTGATGACACTGCTTTTACTCATCCTTTTCTCTATTTACCTTCCAGTGCATGAGCTGTTCGTTCATAGGCATAAAGAGATGATGAGTAGAAACAGACTTGTGTTTGTCCATTGAGTCCATAATTGCCATGTCTTAGTTCACTATGCTGCTGGCTGCTGTCCACTCTCTCTGTCAACAGTATCAACTAACATTTAATGAGACCCTTAATTTGTGTGGGGCTATTTTCCAGAAGCTTAAAAAACAAAACCCAATAATTTGTCACCTGGCAGATCCAGGCTTCTTTTTAGCAGACTCAAAGGATTTAAGAGCTCATTTATGCCATTCTCTGCCATGATGTGTTTCTTAGATACCTTTCTGCCTGTATGGAATTAATGACCTCTTAGCAGTCCTCTGCCCTTTAATGGCTCTAGCTGAAAGAAGATTTGTTCTTCAGCTCTGCTCCGTGTTCTCTCTTCAAACCACCTAATTACTGATTCTCTGTTTGCCCTCTGGTATTTTGCACAACAAACCATGTCCTTCCCCACGTACCAGCCTTCAAAATCGTGAAGAGCTTTTAACCTTCAGAAACTTGACTCTGCTGCCTACACTTGTTAGCTCATACTACGAAATCAACTCCTCATAAAGTTATATTCAAAAATAGATGTACAAATCATAACAATAAATGTCAATGACAGAATCAGCAAAGTCTGAGTCAGAATCCTTTGAGATAACCAGCCCCATTCATATTTTTCTGCATTGCACTTAAAAAAATTCTTTTTGGAGATTGGATCTTTCTGGATAGCTCAGGCTGACCTTGAACTCACAATCTTCCTGCCTTCTTTTTCCAAGACTCTTCAACTGCTGTAGTATGTCAGAGTAGGCTTATATTGGGTTGCAATTGCAGTTTTTGTTTATTTACTTGTTTATTTATTCTAGATCAAGGTGATAGACAAGGAGCAGAGCTTGCTTAGTGTTGATAATCACGCAAGGAGCCAGGGTGTGTCATTGCTGAAAGCTTGGGGGCAGAACACATCCCAGAGGTGGTTTAACCTGCTCTGGCCAGACTAGCTGTATTCACAGCTCTCGGTTGACTTGTGATCCCTCTTTCTATAGCCCCTGTGAGAATATTCATCCAATAAACATTTCTCCTTGGTCCATCCCATTGGCAAGTCTATCCACTTCCTATTTTCTCTCCTAGACTCTCCCCTTCTGGTCAGTTCTCATCCTCTCTCCCTTCACTGCACCCAGATGCTTCTGGAGAACATTTCTGAATTATATTAGGGTCTATCCCAACAGCTTGGTTCAGACTTGTGTTCACTCTCCCATGCTGTAGCAACCTCCCCATGCCCCGTTCACCCAGCTCCACTTTCAAAAGCCAATCTCACCTTGCCACTCCCCAGCCCCAAATCCTCCCATTTTTGCCTCTGAGGCCAAGTCCCAGCCCTCAGAAACAGAAAACCAGGACAAACCAGGGTGACTGAATAAAACATACCTCTCATATCACTCAAGAAAAACACACCTGCTAGGGGAAGGGATGAGATCAACTTCCTCTAGAGAATCCAGGCTGGCCTCAGGCCTCTATCTGAGATGCTCCATTGAATTCATCATATAAAATCTGTATATCAAAATTAGGAAGCCAAGCACAAGTGGCTCATGCCTGTTAATCATAACTATTTGCAAGGCTGAGAACTAGATGATCTTGGTTCAAGGCCAGCCAAGGAAGAAAAGTCTGTAAGATTCCAACTCTACCAGAAAAGCCTCAGCCTTGCAAATGAAGTTTTAATTTGCAGGAAATTGATGGGCCTGGTAGCTTTCCAACTGGCCAGTATGAGAGTGTTTATGCCATAGAAGTAGGCAACACTCCAGGTTACAGCTCTGTATTTGATATTTACCGGCTCATACCACTGTGTATGGGAATTTTGTATTTGTAACACATTTCTGGCATACTTTTGTAAAGGTGCTCAACTTTTCCATAAGAGAATGAAGACATTTCTGTTAATATTAGAACCCTGACATTATTTTATAATCTCTGAAGTAGGAAACATCTTTTGGTCTTTTGTTCACCTCTCTTGGTTCATTTGGGATCTTACCAGAAACATTCTAGATGCCATATTTAAGAGAGTGTAAGTCTATTAATCTGTAATACAGTCTTAACATTTGCAGAATAATTCTGTAATGTGTGTCAGCAGAGTAATTATATAATGTCTTCTATTTGACTGCTTGTTACAAAGTCCGATGAGGACTTTACTTTTAGGATGTCATATTATTGTGGCTGTGTTTCCTTACATGATTCTGAAGGAGTAAGCAGCAAGAGAAAACAAAGGGGTTGAACTTGCTCAAACCACACTGTATGTATTTATGGAATTACCACAGTGAAACCCCTGTACTACTAAAATGTGCAATTTTTTTAAAGCAGCAAGAGGAGAGAATATGGTGCTTCTGTATTCTGTCATTGCTTTGGCAAGCATCTTTTGCTCTTCTGCTTTTTTTTGATTTACTTCTTTTCCTTCTTCATATTTGCCCTCCTTTGCTCTATGAAAGAGCAATCTATTTTTATACCCATCCCCATTTCTTCCATTGTTTGAACCCTGAAGAGTTACTTTTGCCTGAGGAACAGGCTCTGCATTGTGGACTGCTACAATGTGCTGAAAAAAAATAATGAGCCAATTAATGATGCTCTTGTTGACAAGTGCTAAGAAACTTGCAGGGCTTCTGCTTCTGCAAGCCATGATTTATGGGCTGTAATAGGTAGAATGTCTAATGAGTGAGAACAATTAGCAGCTCCGAGGTCTTTACTCCAGGTTTGCCACCAAGGGAGAAAGATCATTGATTAAAGGGCCCATCTGTTCCAAAGATGTTTCTACTTGCGTACTTAGCAGTTCCTGAAGATGAGCTCAGTGACACATTGCCTCTCCAGCCATTTATTGGTCTATTCATGGTTACATACTTAGTCAAATACTACCTGTCGTCAGGATATTTATAGTGAGATGATCAGTTTACTCTTGAGTTTTGTCCTCGGTAAGTTAGTCCTTATAGTTGCAGATTTCTGCATATGCACAACTTGCGTTCAGCCTGCTGGTCAACCTTCCAATCAACAGTGGACCCAAAGCATTTAAACCGTATATAAAAATAAGAGTATTTGTTTTTTTTATTAATATTAAATCAAAATATTTAACATGAAAAATAGAATCTGTAGTTGGGTGCTGGTGGCTCATGCCTGTAATCCTTGCTAGTTAGGAGGCTGCCATCTGAAGAACACGGTTTGGAGCCAGCCCAGGAAGGAAAGTCTGTGAGACTCTTTTTCTCCAATTAACTATCAAAAAGCTGAAAGTAAGCTGGGCACCAGTGGCTCATGCCTGTAATTGTAGCTACTCAGGAAGCCGAGATCTGAGAATCATGGTTCCAAGCCAGCCTAGGCAGAAAAGTTTGTGAGACTCCTATCTCCAATAAACTACTCAAAAAAAGCTGGAAGTGCGCTGTGGTTCAGATGGTAGGGTGCTAGCCTTGAACACAAAGTCCCTGACTTTAAGCCCCAGGACTGGCAAAAACCAAAACCAAAACAAAACAAAAAGCTGAAAGTAGAGCTGTGGCTTAAAAAAATAGCTTTTAGCAAAAAAGCTCAGGGACAGTGCCCAGGCCCTGAGTTCAAGCCCCAGGACTGACTGGTACAAAAACAAAACAAAACACCCTCTGTACTGATAATGTACAAACTTCTGATCAAGATACATTGTGCTCCTAAATTGACATGCTGAATTGAAATTCTTTTATCTGACTACTTAACGATGATAAAATATTTAGTATTAAATAAGAACAGTTAATATTAATGTAGTCTAACCTTTTTGAAACAGTATTGCATAATGCCTCTTTACATTGTATTGGGTATTATTCACACAGGATGACTTAAACAATACAGGAGGAAACTGCAGTTGCATGTTAGATGCAAATACTGCACATTATAGTATAAGAAACCTGTGGATTTTGATGTCACTGGAGGGTCCGGAGCCAGTTTCCCTGAGACCCTGAGTGATTATTGTAGCTTCTAGATAAATAAGTGGGTCTCTATTTTTACTGAAAGTTTGGTGTTAGGGCTGGGAAGGTGGCTCAGGGGTAGAGTACTTGCTTTGCACGCATGAGGCCCTGGGTTTGATTCCTCAGCACTACATAAGCAGAAAAAGGTCCAAAATGGCACTGTGGCTCAAGTGGTAGGTAGAGTGCTAGCCTTGAACTGAAGAGCTGAGGGACAGTGCTTAGGCCCAGAGTTCAAGACCCATGACTGACAAAAAAGAGAAAGAAAGAAAGAAAGAAAGTTGGTGTTTTTCAGCTCTATTTTCAGAATGAAATATGGGTGAATTCTGCTACTATGATCAAAACCTTTCTTAAAATATCTCTAACCTACTTAATTGTTCTAAATAACGATTGAACCTTTGCAGAGAGGTTCACAGGTTACAGCTTTCACATTTGTTATTTTATTTTTCCATTAGCTGTTTCTTTCCCATTTGTAGAGGCCACTAAATAATGGACTGAGAGTTGGAGAGGGTCTCCAGGCTAATGGTCAGTTTGTCTGGCATTCTCCCCCCACCCCTTCCCTGGTCCATCTTGGGGTTTGAACTTGTGTGTGGGTGCTGTTCTTCCACAACACCACTTCTGGCATTTTTGGTGGGTATTAGAGATAAGAGTCTCCTGGTAGCACCAGCACGACTATGTTTATTGCAGCATTATTTAC